GTAAATGTTCATTAATACTAATAAAATTTAATAATAAAAAAAACATTAATTACAACTAACTAATGTAATGAACTTAAAATGTCTGATCAGACTTATATTAGCTATTGTGATTGCCTTTACTCAACTTACCTATTTATAAATTTTACTCTTTGTACATGTCCGTTTGTCTTGCGTCTATTTTTTTCCTTTATGATATATACCTAGTAGTGGAATTATTGAATTAAATTATTTTTCCAACTTTCAAAGGAAGTGCCAAACTCAACAACATATATTATTTGCTATCCTGTTGAACTTTGTTATTGCTGCTAGAGTGAGATATCTCATTATTTTTATTCTCATCTCTGATAGATCTTAAAAACTTTCATTTTGTTTATTGGCCATCTGAATGTCATCTTTGGTAAAATGCCTTTTTTTGGCCTCTGCCCACTTTGTGATCAAGGTGTTTGTTTCTTAAGGTGTTAGAGTTTTCTATAAAATTGTAATGATTAATCCCTTGTCAGATATTCCATTGTCAAATATTTTTCCCAGTTTTTAGGTTTTCTTTTTACTAATTTAGCTAAATCTTTTGATGCATAAGGATTTGATTTTGAATAAGATCTTTCAAGGACAAGAGTTGAGGCTCCATCACTGGCATTGATAAACTCCTAGGTTAACAGAATTTCTCTCTGCCTACAGGAGATATAACATTGGATCGTGAGACAGCTCATCCTTGTCTGGCCATATCTGAGGATTTAAGAAGTGTCAAGATTGGAAAGATCTCAACTCTATATAACAACCCAGGGACTTTGGACTACAGTGTCACTGTTTTGGCTGTGGAGAGTTTCAACTCAGGGAGACACTATTGGGAGATAGATGTGGGAAAAGCAACAAATTGGCAATTGGGCATTTACAGGGATTGCACAAACAAACAGGGTGCTGGGCCCAGAGGCTGTGGAGATAAAGTCTTACTCTCAAGATCCATCATGGGAATCGATTGTACATACTGGGTCTTCCCCCCGTTGAAAAGGATTTCCTTGAGAGGGGAATTACGCAAAGTTGGCATTTTCCTAGATTATGAATATGGCCAGCTGTCATTCTATAATGTGACAGAAAAATGCCTTGTTTATAATTTATCGTATCTCGCCTTCCAGGGAGCTGTCAGGCCTATTTTTTGTTTTTGTATTCCAAATGAAGACATAGATTCAGATTCAAACTCTCTCACCATTTGTCCTCCTCAGAATCTTCCTAATGGCACAAGTATTAACACCCAGACTTATCATGTGAAATCCAAAGTCAGAATGTTAAAACCATGAATTTGTTAAATGATTTTTGTGAAATAATCTAAGAAAAGATTTTTCTTATTTGGGTTGAAATCCAACTCAATACCAAATTCAATATTCAAATCTTTATAGTTTTCAAATTTCAAGTTCCATTTAATGGGTGATTTTCACTTAAATGAATCACAAGTTATAATGGTAGAAGTTCTCTACACCAGAATAAGAAGTATGTATACGGAATAGTATTTAGGAAATTAGGGTGGAAATATAACCTCATTACCGATTAGCCCAAGATCTTTAGGAATATGTTTCTTAAAACATTGACAAAATTGGATATTATCAGGAATGAAGGCAGAACTTTAGTTTTAAGGATGTCATCATATTGCCATGTGTATGTGAGGCATCCTATTATTGATCCTCATACTGACATCAGGACATCTTATTACTGGCTCTGAGCCTTTATCATCCCCAATTGTTGTAGTTAAGTGCCATCAAATTGAGTACAACTCATAGCAATCCCATGAACAGCAGAGCTAAACCCTGTCTTATCCTATGCCATCCTCACAATTTCCAACACAGGAGAGCCCATTTGGGTGTGGAGTTTTTTTAATTGAAATTTTAATAAAAGTTTATAGAGACTTTGGATTTCCATTCATTCATTGTTGCACATTTTCCTCTCTGCCCTTCCCTCCCCCCAGTTAATTTTTCTCTTTGAAATGTAAAAAAATCTTTCATTACTATGCATTCCCCTGCCCCCCAGTCCACTCCCATCATGCAGCTCTCATACTGGATTCTTTTCGTGAAAATAATACCTAATCATACATTCCTTTCAAATGGTTCTCTCTGTTTCAGTGCAGTATATATTCTTTATCCCCTCTTTTCTAAGTTTCCCCTCAACCCCAATGTCAGTTCTGCTTTACAACAATGTTATTATGTAATATTTGTCCCTTTGTGACTGAAATATTTCACTCAGTATAATGTCCTCCAGGGTCATACTTTTTGTATACTATTTCATGAGTTCCTTGTTTTTCAGTGCTGCATAGTTTTCCATTGTGTGAATATACCACAGCTTCTCTATCCATTTGTTTGTTGATGGGCACTTGGATTGTTTTCAACTTTGCTATTGTGAAAAAAGCAGCAATAATCATGGGTGTGCATAGGAGAGCCCATTTGTATCAGTCACCATCAATCCATTTGTTGAGAGTCTTTCACCAACTCTACCTTCCCAAGCATGATGTCCCTCTCCAAGGAATAGCCTTTCCTAAAACATGCCCAGAGTATGTAAGGTGAAGCTTTATCATTCTTGCCTCCAAAGATCATCCCCAATAAAGAATAATAACAAAGTTTCCTGAGGATTATTTTATCCACATGTGAATATACATATAGAGAGGGAGAGATTATTTTAAGATTATGTTTTCAAGTGTTCTTTTCCATGTTTCTTTCTGACAAAATGATTTTTTTTAAGGGTAGAAGTTTAGTGCTTTGAAACAACTAAGTAACACAGTAATGGCATTTTTATATTCTTCAAATTGATGATACACTGAAAAATGCTTTATTGTTCATCAGTTTGCTCTGTAATGAGCATACTGAGAATTGGAAGATAAAGTGTATTTAAAAGACTAACATTTAAACTCATTGCGGTCACGTCAAAGCTGACACATCAGCAGGTTTTGGACACTGTAAGTCACATGAGGGGTGATTGGTTATTTTTTTTCTCCTGTGGAAATAGTGGTGACTTAGAACCAGCCACCTTTAGTTGAGCAGCAGTAGCTCTCTACGGACTGCACCACAGAGATCCCTCAACAGCCTAGTAAGTGTCTATATTACTACTATAACATGAAAAGTTAGGCTTACTTTTCCTAAAGTAACAAGGCTACTAAATGCCCAATAAATAGCTAATATGAGAAATTAAGGGAGCTTTTGTTAGCATTATCTAGTTAGAAGTTACATTGCCAAGGTGGCACTTGTGGCAGTTCACACCCACCTGTGACTCATGGAGGAAAGGTGGACCTTTTCTCATGTGGATTACAGACTGAAAATTTACTGAAGGTTCGGCTGTGTTATGCACTATCAAATCAAGCACATCTCATAGAGCCCCTGGGAACAACAGATCTGAACCCCGTCCTATGCCACGCTCATGTTTGACACACTTGAACCCACTGCTGTAACCACTGTGTCAGTCCATCTAGTTGAGGGTATTCCTCTCATGCTGACCCTGTACCTTCTTAAACATGAAGTCGCTCTCCAAGGAGTAGTCTCTCCTAACACACCCAAAGTATGGGGATGGTCATCTTTTTCTCCAAGGAGTATTCAGGCTGAAATTTCTCAAAGACATCTGTATGTTTTTTTGGCAGTCTGTGGGACGTTTAGTAGTAGTATCCAGCACCACAGCTCAAAGGCATCAATTATTCTTCTGTCATTCTTAGTCATTTTCCAGCTTTCAGGTGAATACAAAGTGACTGAAAAGACCATGGCCCAAATCAGGCCCACCTTAGTCCTGAAACAGACATCACTGCTCTTAATAATTTGAGGAGGTCCCTGACTACAGGCTTTATATCTCCTCACTGCTGATACCAAGTGTATTGATTGGGAATCCAAGTAAGATGAAAGTCATCCTTATCTCTGATACACTTGAACCCATTGCTGCAACCATTGTGTCAATCCATCTTGTTGAAGGTCTTCCTCTCTCTTGCTGATCCTGCACCTTTTCAAGCATGAAGGCCGTCTTCAAGGAATAGTCTCTCCTAACAAGAGGCCTGAAGGATGTGGGATGGTCATCTTTTTCAATCATTTGACAAGTCATTGACAGTTGCAATCATTTCATCTATCATAATGTTGCCTATATAGGATCCGATGGTAAAGATTTTTATCTTCTTGAGTAGATGTAATCCATATTGAAGGCTATAGTGTTTGATCATCTTCAGCAAGCAACAGGTTAATGAGTCTTCTTCCAACTTTGATGCCATATGCTTTTCATAGAGTCCAGCTTCTTGAATGATTTTTCTTAGCATACAGATTGAATAGTTAGAAAAGAAAAATCCTGATTCAATCCTGGATTTTAAACCTTGCTCTTTTCACACAATAGCTTCGGATAAGTATGGGTTTCATATGAGCATAATTGTTTTCGGATTCCTATTCGTCTCAATGCTAACCATATTTATGATCCACGTAGTCAAATGCCTTTGCATAGTCAATAAAATACAAATAGACATTCTTCTGGTATTCTCTCCTTTCAGCCTCACTAGGTTCTAATTTGATGGCAGTGAAGGAAAGATGAAAAATTAACAAGAATACATACCTTGGTGGCTCAAACAGTCAAGTTCTCAATTGCTAGCTGAAAAAGTTGACAGTTTAAAAATCGCCCAGCAGTACCTTGGAAGACAGTCTTTACAATCACAGCTTCCAAAAGGTCATAGCCCTGATGATCATAAGAACCGGATGCTGAAGAATACTGAAATGATAAATATTTTTTACTTGTTGTGTTAAGTGTTAATTTTTCAAAATGGCTTTCCTAGCCACTAATTTTGCCCTGTTGGTAGATGGAAATACACAAATCAAGTGTGCTAGCCTAGCCACAAGAGGATTGGCCAATCTTTCCATTAAATTGTGCAGGTTCAGGGGCAGATTTTGACAATTTCACCACCAGCAAAGAAGCAGACATACATGTTCCTCTGGGGCTAGAAGATACTGGGCCAGCTAGACTGAAAGCAGCAGCAGCTGGGACGATAGCAGAAAACAGGAGACCTGTTGTGAGATGGAGCTCACCTTAAGACTGCTACCCCAAGGAATCAGAGCTAAGAGTCTTGCCCAGGTTTTCTCCAGAACTGTGGGTGGGGAGCCATAATTTCAGGACTAAGTAATCCTGATGGCATGTAGTTCAAATCCACCAGCAGTTCAACAGGAGAAGGACAAGCAATCTCCTCCTATGTGATTAATCGTCTCCGAAAACCCTCTGGAGGGTAAACTATGGTTTTGTTCCAACTCAGAAGCACACAAGGACTTTGTAACACTTCCGTAAAACTGGGAAGCTGTGGTGCTTGTGAGCACATTTTGGAAGCTCTCCTGACTGATTATATATCCTGCCAAACTGAATGATAGGGTTTTTTATTTTGCCAATATGGTTCTGTGTGGTCTGTGAACTATTATAATGGGTTTTGAACCCAGTAGAGTAGTAGGATTTGTGTTGGAATGAGAAGACAGAGGTGCCGAAGGAATGGGGAATATGGCTTCCATGGAAATTGGTTTTTCGTTGTGGGTGCTGTCAACAGGGACAATTCCCATTGTGGAGTTTGTAGCGATTAGATATGGCCATCTCCACATGGCTCTAGCTCTCTTTTGTACCCTTTTAATTAGCAAAATAAGAGAAGTCTAATGCTAAATAATAATAATAATAACCCTGTAGAGCAGATCTCTGTATGCATGGTGTCCCTGTGAGTCAGAATTGACTCAATGACTACTCGTGTATTTAGTTTTATTTTGTCAGAAATAAAACCAAAACCTATCTCAGATTCTACTGCTTAAGGCCCCATTAAATTCATCATGCTGCAGTAAGTCCTGTTCTCATACTCAAAATTCTTAAAAATCCAAGCTGATTTGTGCACAAAGTAGAGGAATCATGTTATCAATACTGCCCTCTACAGGTTTAATTGTTTTTTCAACCCTAAAGTGGTGCTTCTGGCCATTCCAATCCACAAGCCAATCTGAGGGGAATCGATTTATAGCCAGCCTCCAAACACCAATCACTGGAGGGTTAGATTTTAGTCTGTTCCAACGCAACAGTGATGAGCTGATTTTTTTTGTTTGTTTTAGTTTCTGTGGGTATATTGTGCATTGTGGAGATTAAAGTGCGAAAGACAATTTATAAGAAGGAATGAAAACTATTGGCTAGCAAAGGGGTGAGGATTGGTAGGAGGCAAATCACAGTGTTGTACAATTGGTGGGTGGAGGGAGCGGATAAAGGAAATGAGAAGGTTCCAGTGGTGACCTGAAAAGACAGGGAAATGGTGGGCTTGATACAATGGTGATTAATTTAATAA